ATAAGATAAGATAATCTCTCTTAATCCTAATCTAATAAGATAAGTCTCTCTTAATCCTAATCTAATAAGATAAGATAATCTAATCTACTAACTTAATAAGATTAGATAAGAATAACAAGATAGTCTAATCTAATCTGCTGAATGGATAAGACTGTTGCTGCCGAATTGGATAGGATGAGAACACCGGATCATTGCTGCTGCTGCTCCCAATACGCATCCACATCAGTTAATTGAAACTGTAACGGTCCTTCTAAATTTGACTCTTTACTTTGTAATGAGTGTAAACATTAAAAAACTAAAGATCCATGGATTACTCTTGTCCCTTTCTTCTTTCTTTCTTTTACTTTTCCTGGTGATAGAAAATCAGGTTGATACCAAGTTATCTAATATAGTGATTTCTAAAGTTATTATAATGTTTGCACTCTTGGGCCTGCTTTTATTCCCATCAATTCTTGCATCCTGGAGGACTTTGACAAATAGCAGCATTCTCTGTATGCAGGCTGTTAATTGGAAACTGTAATTGTTACAAAAAAAGTAATGACAAGTGTAATCATCATCTATGTGTTGGTGTGCAACTGTTCACCTTCATTTCCTCGATTTTCTGGAATCAACTATGGTTGGAATTGCTTATTATGTTTATATGATAAAATTTTCAAATATATCTACTTAGATCACATTAATGATTCATATCTTTAAACAACTATTTGAGTTATCTTACTGCTTGTTTGAAGATACCATGAGTACATCTAATTTTTCTTTTTCGATCTATTTATTCACCTTTCTCTGAGAAATTGATGTTACTAATAAGATGCGTTGTGTTTTTGGCCTCAGGACTCATTTATTCGAGCCAAGAAATGGGTTCAAGAACTGCAGAGACAAGGTGACTCATTGAAATATAAAATGATAAATTATGTTTTTTATCTGTACGAAAATAACATGAAAAATTCACCTTTCCCCCCAAAGTACATTATAAATTTGTCATAAGACATGCCTCTTTCTTTTCTATTTCCTTTCCATTTCACCAATAATTAAAGATTTCATTTTATGTCCAACTGGAACATATCAGCAAAACAAAATTGCCACTAAATTTATTTTAGATTACCGTGACTAGAAACTCATTCTTATTTGGGTGGATGATTAGTCTACTACATGATTTTGACGATGTAAAAGACCAAAACAGAGTAGTTGAGCCATTCTTGTCTCCTATTTTTCACCAGAAGATTTATCCTCTTCTGCTTCATCTTTACCTTTTTTTTTCTTTTTCCTAGTACTATTTTCAATTTGTTCAATGAGTTGGTAGTTAAATCTCTTCAGGATCAATACCATGATAAGCTTACAGTTTGGAGCCTGTATAAGAGATGCCTCCAGTGCAAGGGTCATATCATTCATCCCTTCTTTTGTGGGCTTATATCCTAACAACTTTAGATACCAGGTTTTTTTTTCTCTGCTAATGCAAGAAACATAAATAAATAATAATACTAACAATTACAACAACTACAATTATAATAACAATAGCAATAGTAAGAACAATGATGATGATGATAAAACTTCGATACTGGTTTGTTATTTTTATGCTAATTCAAGAAAGCTCCTTTTAGCTCTCCTCATTTAATTAGATTGAGGGGATAAAGTTGGTATTTGGTTGATTGAATCTAAGTGATTTTACATGTTCTAGGGAATCCAAATATGGTGATGGTTTTGGTGGCAAACAAGGCTGACTTGCAAGATAAGAGAAAAGTAGAGAACGAGGTATATAGAAAACTGTTCATGATTCTGTGACATTTTTTTTTGGTAAGAAGATTTTGTGACTTAGTTTTATAGTTAATGGTTACCTTTAACAGTTAGTTGTTGGAGTGATTACATGAGAAAGATTTTGGTCCAGGGAGCAAGATTTCTTTGTTTCAATTCCAACATAAGCATTTGACTTGATTATGCCAGTTGGAAAAGTGTATGAGGTTGATGACACAGACATGGGTTTAAAACAAAACCCATTTTCACTATATGGCCATTAACTAGTGGCCATTTTGCGTTGCTATGATTGATTTGTGATCAACAAGCTATTCTAATCTAAGGAATCTTGACCATAAGCTAAGTATTCTTTTAACCATAATATTTTCTGGGTCTCAAGGAACTGTTCAAGCTAAAAAGCTTAAGCTGTTAGGTGAGGTCCCTGAATAGGTTTCTATTCTCTCACACGCCCCCTCACACGAATGCCCATTGGGCTTGAAGCATGGACAAACACAGGCCCATCCATACCTTGTGCTTAAATTTAATTAATTATAATGGGGCAGCGAGAATTGAGCACTAGACCACTTGGTCAAACAGGCTCTAGTACCATCTCAGGGAACCATTCAACCTAAAAGCTTAATCTGTTAGGCGAGGTCCCGAATAGGTTTCTGTTCTCTAACTACTGGGACATTATTCTCTATCATCATTGACACTACACCTCCAAACTTGTGATTGATTGCACCTTATCTGCCTGCATATGCTTTGATTCTTTGCAATGTTTCATAAATCATAATTGATGTATTTTTCCACTTGTTACTTGTCCAACATTGGTGTTGGACTCCTCTAATTATACTTGCAGGAAGGAGAGCAATATGCCAAGGAAAATGAGTTATTTTTCATAGAAACATCTGCAAAAACTGCCCAAAATGTTAACGAGCTCTTCTATGAAATAGGTAACTCTTTATCTGTTTCTCTCAATAGAGATTTGTGATCCCTTGCATTAGGTTATAGAGAATTGTCAACATGGTTCAGTGTCAATGTGAAAGTGAAACAACCATACAAATCAGTGGATTCACTAATCACGTCATAGTTCCTATCTAGGTCTTAATCCATGATACCATCTCGATTGGATGATTGTGACCATCTGATCTCCTGCATTCTTCTAGACAGTCTGAAAGAGAAGTCAATTGCCCACAAACAAATTTATATAATGGTTAATCAATACCATCTTTTTTAATTGTTACCATGGGAGTTTTTTTTTGTGATAGTTATATATGTTTTTTTGAATAATTTCAGTCAGTTTCAACTGAAATCTATTGGTTTGACTGGAGCCAAGCAAAACCCTATGTACAAATAAAAGTTCAGCTTTTAGCAAGATATCTCCCTGATTTTTGGTAGGCTTTGACCAAACATTACATTTATGGTGTGTAAATGTTGTCAATAAGCTTTTTCAGGGTCCAACCCTGGATCCTCAGATGTCCATTTTCAGCTTCTATTTTATTTTCATCATAAGCATTTGTTCTAGCTATTTTATAAGATTGATGGCCTTTTGCAGCAATGCGATTGGCAAAAGCTTGCCCTGCACGCCCTAGTGGAATAAATTTACAAGATGAAGCACAAGAAGGGGGCAGAAGACTGTTTTGTTGCTCAATATAAACACCTTGGCAAGAGTTTCATTAAGGATGGTAACTATCTCAAGCCCTGTTTTACTTCATGGAATGCTAATCTTTGGAATTAATACATGTTTCTGTTGCTGATTCTGGGTATTTTCATATTTAAAAATTCAATGTAGTAATTTCAACTGTTTCTCATTCCAGGCAATTCTCAAGTCTTTGAACCTTTCCATGCTGTTGCTTACTTGAGGTAAAAGAAAAAACCTTATGGAAGGGTGGGTAATCAAAAATTCATTGACACTTTTACCCAGCACAAGCCATACTTGTGGATCTCTGGCCATTCCAAGATTCCTTGCAAAGGCTTTCAATACTCTTTTGAACTTATGATGCGCTCATGTATTGAAAGGAGGGGTATGAGAACCAAGAAGAATAAAAAAGAACTCTTCGATGGTTGTACTCTAAGAACTAGATGTTGGTTTTCAAGAAATGTTTCTGATCAGTCCTGCTGTCTACATACAAATACTGGTACTAAAATAAGGAGTTTCAAATAATTCATAAAGCATCTCAATTCTGTAACATGTAACATGCTATACTCCTGGTAAATTTTATCAAAAGAGAAAAATTAGGCTCCAGCAATCATCAAGACAAACTTATAATTAATATTGTCAGACTTGGACTTGAGAAATAACTAGAAAGCTCACTTGGTCATGGTTTTACCAGTTTAACCCCCAGTTAGATCATTAGTGAACCATCAAATAACTGGGACCAAAAGGCTCAATGGGTCACTGGTTCAATAATCCAGTATAGTCCGAATCTGACAAAATTGCATGTAAGTTCATCGAGTCTCACAGTGATGGCTATACTTTTTCCTAATATTCCATTTCAAATTCCTTTGACTGACCTGTTTTTGATAATTGTCAAGGAATCATTCAACCCAAAAGTTTAGGCTGATGCCCCCTCACGTGAAAGCCTATCAGGCTTGAAGTATGGATAAGCAAAGGTCCATTCATACCTTCTGCTGAAATTTAATCAACTATAATGGGGGCAACTTGGATCGAACACTAAACCATTTGATCATACATGTTCTGATGTCATGTCATGGAACCAATCAACCCAGAAGCTCAAGCTGTTGGGTGAGGTCCCTAATAAGGTTTTATTCTTACAGTAATGAATTAGGCCATGGAATGCTCCGTAGTATTCGAATTTGGAACATCACCTGTGCTTGTACGTTGTTATTCATGGGGAGAAGTTCTCAAATCCCAATGCATAGTGGAATGTGCTGTGTAGGTTAGTGTGAGGAGTGCCCTTGGAGCAGATCCGGAGTCGTATTATTCAGCCATCATATAGGGCTTAGGAATGAACATTAACCTATCTGCCTACAGCTGCATCGGGATCTTCAAAATTTTTGCAGGATAATTACTTGAAATGAAACCATTTACCCTTTTCTTTTTGAGAAGAATTTTATAAAAGATAACAAGATTTACAGATGGATAATGTCCTGAAAAATCCGAGGCAACTAGCTTATTTGCATTGCATAAACCTTGAGAGAAACCCAGCCATGTTACACAAGGTCTCGACAAGAAAAGACTCAAGAAACTCCACATATGCAGGACAGAATGTCTCGTACTCGTAAGCTTCTCATGGCCATTGGATTTTGTGCGCAAGGCTTCAACGGCGACACCTTGGCCTCTTCATAACATTGCAACCATCTGAGTTCAAACATAAAAGGGACCAATGTCAGCTGGGTTCCAGTCCAAAAGTAGTAGCACGAGGGAAAGAATATAAAAAATTTGCTCCAATGTCCCAGACTTGGAACAATTCCCAAGAGAAGGGGCCGATGGGATCCCTCTTCTATCATCTTCTGGAATAAAAATATTGCCTAGTTCTACCATTTAAGGCGCTTCTTATTATCTCTTTGGGGAACAGGGAAGGGAGGGTGCACAAGTTATTCTGAAGTTCTGTCTGACTACTCTCCAGGACCAAGCGGTGTTGCACCATTACAGAAGAAACCTCTCCATGACATACAATTTAGACTTGATTGGACTGTCTGGGGTTTTCTGCACATAACACGTTACCCCACTCACTCAGTCCCTTGTTTGTCTTTTTAATTAAAAGAATTTTGACTACCATTACCATTTTACCCCCACAGGCATGCTAACATGTCATGCACATGAAGCTTTAACAAGTTTCTCTTCAACAACTGTTTGTTTTACCACAAAAACAACAAAGTACTGTTGATGTTTATTGATGAGTGCCTTGGATGTTCTGAACTGGAAACTTGGGAAACAATGGCATGTACAAAGTAAATGGCTTCTGTATGACCCCTGACAGACTGCAAGAAAAAAGCAGGAAGTCGCACAATATGAATTTGCAGATATGCTAGCTATACTTATACATGGCTTACAATATTCTCAAGACAAGCTCTCAGTGGGATGCTGAGATTGAAATGGACTTCAATTCCTTGTATAGCATGGAACAATCACGAGAGAAATCTGACATGGCCCGGCAGAGCTCAGGCAAGTGAATCTTGAGGTTAACCAATGACTTTTCCCTCACTTGCCTATAGTTCTTCTGGTGCTCTTCTTTCTCCTCTTCCAACCTTTTCCTTAGGCTATCAACAATAAACTGCTTGTCTTCAAAAGGATCCCTGTCAGCATTATCTGGGTCCATCTCATCAGGTGGCGTCCTTCGCTCCATGTACTTCTGACGTGCTTCCATCAAATGCTTCTCCCTGCGTTCAAGCTCCTTACTGGTCTCCTCCCATTTCTCCTTCAGTTTCATCTCATCCATCTGCTGAACCATAATTGCCTCGATGCTAGCTGCAAATGTACCTACTGCTGATCTGGCAACACCATCTGGAAGTTTCCCAAGTTGCTCACCCCACGCTTGCAAGAGGGGCTGGATGGGGGTGCAAGGGACCTTAGGTGGACATGACACCTTCTCCTTCAAGCTACTCTCGATGGGGATCAGATTCAGTTTCAACCAGCTACTGAGAGCTTGAATGTACTCCTTCTGATGGGTTATGACCTTCTGGAGTTGGGCTTGCCATTCTTGGACAACATGAAACAGTTGCCTTGTACGTTCATAGTGTTGCCTGCTTGTCTCCTTGGTTTCTTGGGAGATGTCGATGTCTTTGAGGTCTACAGCAAGTCTCATCTGTCTAGCATGATTTACATGCATTGCTTCCCACATTTGGGCCATCCTACAACCCACACAGATCAGTGTTAGTTTTGGCCCCTTTGGAACTTGTAATCACACAACTCATTGACAATATGCACCAGAAGAAATCACAATCATTCTTGCAATATCATATGCGGGTCACAATAAAGTAATCAGAATAATTATAATTTCTTACTTCATTTCCCTATAGTTATACTTCATACACAACAGAATTTTAATACCAGAATCCTCTTAGCAGTTCTTCATGTGCATTTTCAGGTTCTCCTTTAAGATTGAATTTATTCCATGTAAAAGAGGTGGGAAACAGAGTTTTTGCCATAAAATATGCAGAAATTAAACTGAGAATTTACAGATTGAAAAAATTTCCACCTATTTTATAGACAAAAAGAGCCTGAATAATTAATTTGGACAGTTGTATCCTTCCATGTGTTTGGTCAATGCAAATAGCCCCGGAACTGAATATTCAAGTAATAGACGTTTGGTTTTGCTTTAGCATAGCAGAAATATGGAAAAAAGATCCCCAAGAAAACAAATCATTGTACACAGGGAGTTGAATCCTTGAAAAAAAGGCCCCAATGAGGAGATCCTACTAACATATTTAAACAAATAGCGAGTTACAAAACAAGTACATAACAGAAAACTTGAAGACCAAGGGTTCAGAACAAAGTCATAGATGTAAAGTTACCACTTAGAACATTTGACGATATGGGGGCCAGCAAGGATATTATGGTCAGTGATTAGTCAATGTTGTCAACTAGTACTAGATGTCCACAAGGAGAGTGAAACTCAACCTACTGAACCCAAGGCTGCGTACTCCCATTGGCTCAATATATCGATAGGTTCATAATTCTTTTCTCTAACAAAACAAAACTAAATAATATGATTGAACATAGATCATAACCAAAAAGCAAACCACACTCCAATGCAATTTTGGGGGGAGCTTCCACTGAAATTATTGTGAAAATGCAGGTTTCAGTCTGAAACAAGCCACTTTGTGCAGAAACAATTCAAAGGTTAGGCCCATATCTGGTCTACCCCTCCCAAGACCCTGATAGCTGGGAAAATCATTGGGTTATGGCCCCCCTGCCACTGAAATCAAATTTACACAAAAAAGGCAGGGATCCTTGAGACACTTCAGTACAGTAAATAAAATATATTTAAAAGAAGAAAAGGGAAGGAAAAATGTTAAAAACTATGAGAAAATGCACCAAGAAACAATCTTCCAGAAAAGAAAAGCGGAAAACAGGATCTAGATGCATGCCCCAAGAAGACAGTTTTTTTTGGTAAGCACTGCAAGCAGACATCACTTTACAGAAATGAACCATTCTGAGAACTATACATCAACTTGCTACCTAAGGTACAAGTAAAAATTCACCCAGTTTTTCTTTAATTGTTAGAGAACAGGAACTTACCCATCAACAAGAGCAACAAGTTTTGGGTATAGTTGTTCATCGCGTAAACGTTCTATTTCTGCAACAGTTGAATCCAAGGATTGCATGTCAACTATGTACCTTGTATGCAAATGACTAACTGCAGCCTTTGTTTTCTCCAATGCTTCAGGATTTGTACCACGCTTCTTCTGTTTATTTAGCAAAGTAACTTTTCTCTGATACTCAAGTTTCATGATTTCACCTGCCTGTCCAGGATGACTCCAACCACAGCAAGAGTCAGGACATTATAAATAAATAAATCATCAGCAGATCTAAAGACAAGATCTGCAATTTATGTATCAGAAATTGCACAATTTCTAAGAACTCCTTATCCACTCCTGAAATGGCTAAATGTTGATGGGAAGGACCACATGAAATATTATGTCAGCCTCTTGTGCAGTTTTGCATGAACATTCCATGATTAAAGGGGATCTCGATCTTCTATACAAAGAACATGGACACATTTCCTGAGCATTCATCTTACACAATGGTGTTTTAAGTCTCAACATTTGAAATTAAAATCATGGCATTGAAAATCAGAAAATTTAGATGTTTTTGGCACAAAACACACTGCACAATGGTTTATTATAGTTTCAAACATGTAGGCATCATTAGGCACCACATGGAACAACCGAAGTGGAAACAACCCCAAATAATAGAAATGTCTTTTTGAGATTTCCCCCAACATCCCGATGGACATAACCAATGTAAAAAGTGCTGCTGCTGTTTGAAGTTGAATCTGCCAACCAAATATTTTTCCATACATTAAAGTCAAATCACCTATGTGGCGCTTATGTGGAGTCAAAACAATAATGCAATACTATGGTTCCAAACACCACCTAAGTTCTCTTAAACCCCATAAATCCCAACCCCTCTAACTACCCTATCATTTCTTTTTGATTCCTATAGATGACAAAAAATTAACAAGGAAGAAAGGAGAAAAGGGAAACAAAGCAAAACAATAATGCAATACTATGGTTCCAAACACCACCTAAGTTCTCTTAAACCCCATAAATCCCAATCCCTCTAACTACCCTATCATTTCTTTTTTATTCCTATAGATGACAAAAAATTATCAAGGAAGAAAGGAGAAAAGGGAAACAAAGCAAAGGAAGGTGAAAAGCAAAAGGACCAAGATACCCCCAGACACCCAATGGCAAAACCCCTAAACAAAATAAAAAGAAAGGCAAAATTCCCACCATAAAACCGACTCATCCCACCAAAAAGAAAACATGCCACCACTAGCCCAAATGACCTAACCAAAAGTTTGACAGCACCTATTACCTAAATTGTCAAATTTAGCCAAAACCCTAAATCCGATTCACTCATCTTGTTTTTGGCTTCTTTTTTTTTCTTTGCATTTCTTGAAATGTATTCCCTTAAATTGCAAAATATTGCATTGCTATAGCCATCTTACATCGAACATTTTGTAACCAAGTCTAATAATGAAAATTTTGTTAACTTTCATTTTTAATGTATCCACTTTGTTAGCTTTCTAGTCTGAGAGAATTCACTTTGTTCAAAAAAAATGCCTAAGGCTAGATCCATATGCAGTCTACCCCTCCCAACACCCTGGATGGCCAGGACCAACAGCAGATAATGGTTCTTTATGTTTCCAATGTTGACAGGTGAAAAGGAATTCCACAAACAATTAGTTTAGGAGTATATTATGGCATTTGAACTTGAAGTCATCATTATGAGAATTTAAGTGGATTCAGGAGTTGTAATATGTCTTTCATTTTTTTCCTCAAATTTCTGAGTCAACATTTGTTCCTGGATCTTTTGCTGAAGTAGGACAAATGTACAGACTTGTGCAATGAGCTGAACATGCAAATTGCTAAATCATGGAGGACTTCAAAACATGGAGTTGACCATCTCTGTGTATAATCTTTCGGCACCATTCAAGATTTGAAACCAACAAACACGTGAAGCTTCCTTAACCTTCTTTTTCTTTTTTCTGATGGAATTTTAAAAGCCTCTATAATGTCCTTACTGGACAATTTATATTACATTAAACATTTTAACATTCTATCCTGCATTGTTTCACCATATTACACCAAACTCTTGAACCTTCATAAATGTGCATTAGATACTAGTTCCATGGCCTATCTAATGCACATTTATGAAGGTCCCTAAATGACCTAGGAATCTTCCACTTGACAAATGAGTTTGGTGTCCAAAAGGACTCCCCATGTTCCTCTCCCCTCAAAAGACCTTGCAACAATTTCAAAACAATGTGGGTATAGGGCTGATGTGGACTAGAGGATTACACATGGATGATGGATGTATACATGCATGTAATGTATGTCACAATATACAAAATGTGGAGAAAACTATTACATAGTATAATGTTTCTTCCAATAAATATAATATAAAGTAAGATGCATAAAGAGATGTTCATTTTTCCATTATATGCAGCAAAAAATATGAAGACAAGTAAATGCTCTGAAAATATTATATTTGCATGTATGGGAATTGTGGATTGTGACTTCCCTGTCCATATCCATCAAACCCAAGATTCGAGGTAATGCCCCTTGACTAAATGACACAAGAATTGTCAAAAACTAAGGCCAATGTCTGGTCTGTTATATAGTTGGATTATCCTGAGATTAACAACCATATATACCAAACTACTTCAAGATATTTGAAAACTAGTATTCTAGGTACCCAAATGATTCGCATTTTATATTAAGAGACAACCTCACCTTTACTTCATCATAAAGCTTCTTCTCCCATGCTAGCAACTTGTCCAACACAGCTGCATGAGTTTCATTCACTTCTGAATCTAATTCATCTGTCTCATCATCAACATTAGCCAAGCTTTTGAAGGACCTATTCCATGTAATAACACGCATAACCTTTGCAGAATGGTTAATAAGGCCTACAAACAGTAGCATGGTAGTTACAAGTCAAGATGAAAACCAACAGCTTCTCTATCACTAAATGGAAAACAAATTGAATAATATGAGACTGAAACACTATTTGAGAGTTGAACAAGGGCCCGTGAAGGTTGAGCAACTCATTTTCTATTTTAATATCTATTTTGGTAACACCATTATTTTCCAATGTACATTGTAATCGAATCACATTAAAATAAAACATGTAAGCCATGCACATGGGAGTGGGACTGCTTTATAATATGAGATAATACCAATTTTTCAGTACCCAAAAGCCAAAATAAGAGGGTTGAAGTTTGTTTCACAGTTCCAACTAAATGGATATAAAAGAGCTTGTTAAGTTGGCAAAGTTTTTGTTTTGCTTAGTGTTTTTACTCTTCTATTCTTTCTTTTTGGATAAGTAATTCCATCTGCTGCTATAATGCAGATTTAGTACTAGAGCATCAGTCCATTAAAACATGAAATAGAACAAAATTTTTCTGAACTACAAGTTAGAGCTCGTTTGGCTTGTGGGAGTATGGGTCTGGAATTGGAATTGGAATGGATCATTCTGATTCCAACTATTTGGTTGGGCAGAATCAGAATGTCATTCCCATTCCTGCTGGAATGGCATTCTCCCATTTGAGGAAATGGCCATTCCCTCCCCCTCCCTTGGGAATGAAATTCCATTCCAGCTTATTCCAATTCTGATTCTGATTCCTGCCTGAATCAAACAGACTATGGGAATAGACCATTCCAATTCCAATTCCAAGGGATTTTGATTCCAACTCCAACTACAAACCAAATGGACCCTTATTGCAAGTCTCTGCTTTTTCAATTTTAAAAAATGTTTTGCATTCCTATTATTCCAGTTCCCTGCAATTGATATTCTCTTCATAATCATCACAGTACCAGTAGAGGAAATACCAGAAATCAATTGATTCATCCATGTATGATTTAAGGTCAGAGTCTTTAGGATTTAACTACGAGTGATCCCAAAAACACAGCTAGATTGTATAGCATTCAGAACTCAAAATCTTGGGTCTAGGAAGATCAACCAATGAATACGATTTTAATGTAGTTTGCTTTTTTTTTTTTCCAGGAACTTCAATGTAGTTATTATGGAAAAGAAAAAGAACGACGTAAATGAAGGATACCTCGATTATCAGCAAAATTAGAATGGTAATGCAACCTATTGGCTTCCAGCATCTTAGACACTTCCTGGGCACTCTCAGACGCCTTGAGGAAATGATCATCAATGTCAGACAGTATCTGCGAAAAATTGGCATTCGGCACTTTGCCTATTCTCTTAGCCTCCATGGATGGCGAATGTAAATGAACCACTTGCTTTGGTTTCTTCATAAGCTTCACCGGAGGGTCATCTACTTTCTCCTGCATCCGAGGCTCCACCTTATTCCCAACATCACCATCAGCAACAAAATTTTCCTTAAAATTAGATTCGCTATCATGTTCTTCGCCGTCATCTTCCTTATTTTCAGGTTTGATCTCCTCTGCTTCACTTAAAGATGGTCTGAGAGTATGGGCCGAAAAGAAGTAGTCCCAGGTGGTATCGCTGTGCTCCGGTGGAGGTGGCACAGGGTTGTCAAGCGGTGGAGTGCTAGTTGGCGGTGGGGGCGGGGGTGGCGACGGCAGACGTGGTGGGTCTGCCGTTTCGGCAGTTCTAGCAGCACCACGGCTGCCACGGCGGATAAGGTTGCTCTCGTCTTCCATATCAGCTTCGTCTTCTTCTTGGATTGTGTCGGTCGGTCTGGGGTCGACCCTGGGAATGGAGAATTCAGGCATGGTGACTGCACGTTGAAGAGGGGGTGGGGGAAAATTGGGGAGAGGAGGAGGTGGTGGGAGGGTTTCGATAGGGTGTTGAGTGAGAGGCTGGGAGGAGCGATGGTCTTGGGCTTCGTATTGAGCGTACTCACTGAGGGCACCTCCGGTGCTCTTCAGGGACATGTAGTAGTTAACGTGGGCGGCAGCGAAAGCGCCGCGCGTTGATACGGCTTCTCTCATGAATCGCTTCCGTTCTTTGCAACGCACCACAGCTTCTTCACTCTCGATCTTTGATTGCGTGCAACCCATAATTGGTTCTGTATCTTCTGGTCTCAACGGCGGAGAATTTTAGAATTAAGAAGAAAAAAGAGTCAATTTTGCTTCTGGGTTTTGCGATGGAGGTGGAGGGGAATGGATAAATTAAATTTTCAAGAGGAAGAACAAAGGTAAGTGAGCTTGCTGCATTTACAGTTTGAGTTTGAGGAAGAAGAAAGATGAGAATTGGTGATGGGTTTTGGCAATCAACCCAAATGATGAGGCATCAGATGATCAAAATTGGGACTTGAATCGAAAGCCACTCGTAAAGTTTCTTATATTTTTCTCCTCTGTGACTGCAGAAGCAGAGATCGAACAGCCACAGGCCACAAATGTTAGAATTCAACGGAGAAATAAAAGAAAAATGAAAACCAAGAACGGAAAAGAAGGCAGGCAGGTAGTTAACGCCTGAACTGGCTGTTAAGTGGTAGCTTTCAGCCTTTCACCTTTCAGTAGCTTTGTCAAGCAGTGAAGGAGAAAGTTTAGATATAACTCGTAGTATCGTAGTTATAAGCTAATTACAGTAATAAGCGGTCGACGGACCGAGAGCTTCTTGTTCTTGGTGGAATGGTGGGTCCAATTGATATAATCTTATTGACTGTACAGTGTTAAGCAAGTAATCAAAAGACTAGGTGAGAGACCCATTTCCAAGAGATCTATATATTTTTATAGAGTTGATCGTATATTAAAAAGTTACGGACAGAACGGGAGTGAAGCATACATAAAAAAGGAAAAAGGAAATGGGAGGCGGGTCCCAGCAAATGTTCAACCTTTCTGTTTATTGGTGCATTTGGGGTGGTCCAGACTCCAGAGTCCAGACTTTATTTAAATCATTTGTTTATTCTTTTCTTCCTTGTTGATCAACAAACTCTAAAAGTAGCTTTTTTGGGGCGGCCGACCAAGAATGGAATATGAACTGTGAAGAGTGAGGACCTCCTTGTAAATGGGCTGTGCCATGTGAAGGGTCGTGGCTTAACAGCTTGTAAGTTGTAATCTACGGAAAAGATGTTATGTGCCGTGAGTCTGAGAGTTTCGGCAGTTGTTGCTTTTGGTTTACGAGTTCATTAGCGTTTGGATTTGTTGTTAGGTCATCCTCTGGCCTCTGTTGATCCTGCATACATGAAGATTTCATTAAACAAAACGTTTATGTACCCAAAGACCCCACCAGGACCAGGTGATCTGGTGGTGGAATGGATGGAGACATGGGAGTCATGGAATCCTTGACCCAAAGGCCCCACTCAAAAAAGAAAAATCAAAGTGTAGAAGTCTCATCTCCTGATTCATCCACCGACAAAAACGGTGTACCATCTCCAATGCTGGACAGGCTTACGCCAGGGGAGAGTGGCAAGGTCGTTGCCCAGAAAAAGGCCAATCCGGATGCACCCAGCACGCCTGATAATCAGTTCATCTGGTTGATCTTATCTGTTTCTGGCATATACAACAGAGCACAGAGGAGGATCTCTGTTACAGTATATATCTGGAGTGGGGACAGAAGACCATCGGGCTGGTTTTCAATGCCCACATGTCCTCCAAATTTACGGCCTCTGTTTTGGGTGTGGATCTGAATGACTTGAGTAGTAAACGAACAAGCAAACAATTAGCATTAGCGATGGCATTGCATCATTAGGAAACATAAGTATTTTTGGATTACATAAGGGCTAATTGTAAGCTTTTAACATTTAATAGAATGGTTCATTCAAGAGAATGGAAACAATAATAACAACCACTCATAAATTACATATCTTAGATTTCTCAGTTGGGTCGTCTGGAAGTGACATATTTGATCTGCCAGAGCTCTACATCATTTCCCCGGTCATATTCTCTTACATATTGTGGGATCTCCACAAGATCAATGCACTTGCCCACAAAACATGGCAATCTTGCGTCTTCAAGCCTCCCATATTCTGCATTAAAATTGAAAAGAAAAGCATGCTATAAGTAGAATGCAGGAAGAGCAATTACATGGGAATAAGTATCTCTTGTTCAGCAAAGCTACATAGGCATACCTCCCTCCTCCCTCAGATAACTTCGGAAATGTGCATAACCATTTGCGACAACATCAAGATCATTGAGACTGAAATTGTAGCGCTTTTCCAATGCCAAGTATAAAACCTTAAACCAAAATCAAATTGTTTAGAAAACTTGTATATGGATCCAACAACCAGAAAACATGTCCACAATATACTTTTCAACAAGATCCAGGAACCAGAGAAGGCTGCCCCCTCTCTGCCTGTGGCTATCTATCATGCACATGAAATCCAGTTATGATCTACAATGCAAGTAGAAATTATAAGTTATTTGATCATCTTAGCCATCCAAGTATACCAATGTGATAAAAGATAGAAAAGAAAACCCAGTTCACTAATGAAAAAGAAAAATATATTAACAGCTTCTTTTACTCTCATTTGCTCAGCTTAATTTCCTTTTAAATGCAAGATCTTCTTGGTGAGCCCATCAGAGAATAGTTCAATGTCTCACATTCAAAAACATGTATAAACTCAAGAGGCAGGGAAAACAAATTTATCCAATATCTAGCATGACTTTTTCTTCCATGTAAATTACCGGCAAGGAAGTCCTACATAGTTGATTAGTACCTTTTCACAACCTTGTGACATCAATCCCTCTAAAGTATTGAATAATGCATCAGTAAGGTCATCACTGTAAATTACATCAGCAGCCAAGAGTAATGAAGCTCCCTCGGCTTCCTCCACTTCTGATGGGGTCCAAAAATATCTATACCTGGATGAAAAAAATAAATCTAATTGTTAAATATCTCCAAAAAGAATGAGAAAGGTGAAAGATAAATATAATCAGGTTATCAGATTAAACCACATTTTTTTATGAATAAATCAGATTAAACCACTTTGAATCAAATATTTCACCTGTCCTGAAATGGAAAGTCATTTAATCGCACCGTAGGAGGCCATGACTTCTTCCAGTCAAGTTCACGTACATAAACTGAAGTTGTAAGATTATTAAACATCCTGGAGTTGAGATGGACGTTGATAGCACAGTTATCAAGGATTTCACCGCCAACATCTGCAAAAATATTATGTGAGATTGAACTTGTCTAGCAGATAGTTTAGAAAAAGAATGATGATCTAATTTAGAAGTATTAAATTCTTAAACCTAATATGCCTCATGAACCACAAGATAATTGTCAGAAACAATCAGGATATGAAGTTAGAAGGACCAACAACAAATAGGATGTAAAAAATAAGTTACAATATGTTTTACCTTAGCAATAAAGATGGACATTTTAAAAAGGTATATATGAGCGAAAAAGTCCTTGGAGAAAAACCACTGCCTGAATAACAGAAAGATTAGAGTTGCACTACTTGATGTATATTTTGATGTGATCATTAATCTGTATATGGAGGTCTATTTCCCTTGTCTCTATTGAATCTACAGAACATATTAGCAGATGCATAATATTCTATGCATCCATTTCAATCCAAATATTCTATTTATAAATCCTAAGATAATTTAAAATAGCATCTAAAGTGGAACAGAGGCAATATTCAGTTCATAGATTCTAATAACATTGTACCTGTTAGGAAGATGGTCTTAGCAACATGAGAAAGTAGTATACCAACCAAACCTGGAAAAGTCAATGAAATAAAATCCTGTCACACAAGTATTATACTTCAATTTGGCCTTAGAAACACAAGTGGGGCAGGCACATGCATCGCGCATTGTATTAATAAGAGGTTCACTTTAATCTGTGTGAGTTTAAGTGGAGTATCTGCTCTATATGATAAAAGATAAAATGTAGAACTAGGGTCTACATCTTGAGTGGGTTGAAATTCATATTGTCTCCAACAAGTTGTTCCAGTTCAGAAGAGATTGTGCAATAACCATGAAAATAGCTGACTGTCAAAGATTTTTTTAGATTAATTGTTCTTCTCCTGGCCTTTTATTTCTTTCTATCTTTTTGAGAAAACAATAAAACATAAAAGCAATAAAAATTGAGGATTTGTGCAAGTAGAAGACTGTAATAGAGCAAGAGGAAGACAAAAGAAAACATGACATGATGTGGTAAAGAATGATTTTTTTTTATAGATGTGGTAAAGAATTGTTAGACAGTTTTGTATGCCCTTAGCTTCAATTAGAATGATGTACTTTATGAGTTTATTGTAAATGAATAAAAGTGCATATTTGATTCATGTTCCCTTGGTATGTTTCTGTGTAAT